CTGAGTTGGTTCTCCTTTCTTTCTAATTACAAGCTCCTTGAAGGCAAGTTTGGAACTGCTCTCTCACATAAAATCTCCCTCCCAAAGCTCTTGGAATTATACCAACAGGCTGAAAATCCCACAGGCTCTTAGAACCAGTTAAATGGCAGTGGATCAGGTCTGGAGCCAGCTCTATTCAGGACACTATCTGGGGGTAAGAGTGGGACTTGCAGGTGACCACAGGCCCTGGCACCAAAGCATTCCATCTTCAGACCGGCCATACCCCAAATGAGTGGCATCACCGTGTGAGGCTAAGGAGGCAGAAAGACACAGCAGTTTGGAGATTGTGGCTTTCCTTCCTCACTCAGGGGAAACCCAGGCCAGGTCAGGAGGAAACATGTTTGTCAGCCCCCGGCCTCTGAGGCTTCTACTCTGTGACAGCTCAGAGCGGACCCCACCCCCCGAACCCCCACGGGCCCTCTGGCACCCCCTGCCCCTTGCCAGATGCCATCCATATCACCTCAGCACCCTTCCAAAATTCATCAGGGTGACCAGTCAGGCTGCTCTAGAACCAGGCCTGGGTGGCTGAGACCCAAATGGAGGGAAGGACAGTCCTCTGCCACCCTCCCCACTCTGGTCCAGCAGTGCTCCAGCACTTCTCCAGCACTCTCTAAGGCTTGGAGATCACCTGTGACCCTTTATTCCAGATTGGACCACCCCCTGGGAATAGGAGGGTGCCCTTCCCATGGCATAAGATAAATCGTCAGGTACTTCCTTACTCACAGGCTTAGCAATGAGTTTTCTACGGGAGTTTCCATTCTGGGTGGTTAACAAGGGCCACGGGCCACCTGTCCTTTTCTTCACATGACACAGTCATCCACCTACCCACCCCTTTACTCACTAAAATTCTGTTGACTGCCCACTGTGTACCAGGACCATCTCAGGCCTTGGGGAGAGGTGAGATGAGCCAGGCGTGGGTCCTGTCCCCTGGGAGCTCATGTGCCCCGAGACCACACACGAGGTCTGCATAGGACCATGGAATAAGGGCTCTTCAGAGCAGAAGGTACCTCGGGGATCATCCAGTCTATGCCCTCATTCCTCAGAGGAGGAAACTGAGCCCAAGAGACGGGAGTTTAGTCATCCAGGGTCACACAGTAAGCAGTGGTTATTGATTCACTACGCAAGAATTTACCCAACACCTATATATGCTAAGATCTGGGCTGGCACTGGAGATACCACAGGGAACAAGGTGGGCACGGCCCTGTCCCTTTGGCAGTCCAGCTGTGACTGGTGGGTCTCATCCAGGTTACATTTTAGGCTTACCCAAGGAAGCTTAAGAAAAATCCCAATGCCAGGGCCTCATGCCCAGAGGTTCAGACTGGCTTGGTGTGGGGTCCAAGTGTGGGTATTTTTAAACAAGTTCTCCAAGTGATTCTGTTGTGCAGACAGGTCAAGAACCACTGCTCTGGGGTGGGGAGACAGGCAAAAACCAAGCAAACATGAACAAATACGTAACTGAAATTTGTGATTTGTAAGGAATGAACAGGATGCTGAGTGAGGACATGGCAGGGTGGGGTACTGTTATCTGCCTAAGTTGGAGTGAGGCTACACTTGGAGAACTGTGGTTCCAGGGGTCAGATGGGAGCAAGCACAAGGGCGTCCTCATATGGGACAGCAATGGAATCTTCTGGGCCATTGCCCACCCTGCTGATCCACAAATCCCTGCACTGGAGCCCTGTCTAGCAGAGGCTCTCAATCTGCAGCCTGAAATATCTCCCCGCTGGCCCCCATACATACTATTTATGAGTGCCTCCCAGGCCAGCCGGATTAATAATCCCTCACATTTTAAGAGTATAGTCATCCCTTGGTATCCACAGGGGTTGGTTCCAGGAAACCCTGTGGATACCAAAATCTGAGGATGCCCAAGCCCCTTATATAAAATGGTGTAGGACCCTCAGCCCTCCGGATCCACAGTTCTTCAGCCATGGATATGGAGGTCCAACTGTAGCTGGTAAAGCACATTCCCTCTTATCTGTATTATTGGATCCTAATGCTAATCCCGTGCGATGGACAGGGTCAAGGTTAATAGTCTGATGATAGAGATGTAGAAATAGGCTCAGAGAAGTGGTGTGACCTGCCTAAGATCACACAGCTAGTATCTGGATGTGAGACATCAGTCTAGCTCATCAGCCTCCAACTCCACTACCCATGTCGTCCCCCCACCCCAAGCCTTGCACCAGGAAACTGAAACAGAAGCGGGGCACCTGGGAGGCAGGTGGGGACACCACCCCGGGGCCAGCACCCTCCTGTCAAGCTGGGCAGAACTGCCGACGTGCCTCACCTTTAACTTGGATGGTATATAATCTCCTCCATCAGGAAATCCAAGGAACCTGTGACTCTTTACTTCAGTTCCTGCCCAGAATGAACCCGGTTGCTATAGCAACCTGATGCAGTTCTTTCTTATAGGGTGGATGGTTTTCATTTTGTATTTGAAGAGTCTGGCCAGGCAGTCGCGTTGCCATGGCTCGGCCTGTTGGCAGCAGTTACAAGCAGAGGAAACCCTTTGAGCAGCCTCTAGGTCCCTCTAATTGATGGTGGAAACCTGTGTCTGGAAAAACCCCTGGCTCAGCTGCGCTGGGGAAGGAGGGAGGGGGAGTCTCGGCTGGTGTTGTGCTGGGTACCCTCTCCTGTTCAGAGAGCACACCTTACTAATTACAGCCGCCTGGCCAGAGGTCGGCCCCTCAGCCACTTGCTCCCATAGAGCCTTCTAGTTCCCCTCCATGATCTTCATCCCAGGGGGCCATGCTCAGAGCTGTTTCATTGAACCCTGAATGCCCAGCTCTCTGGCTAATAGAGGGCCTCCAACATATGTTTGTTGAATGAATGAATGAATGAATGATCTTTTGTAGTTTATGAAGCCCTTCATACCCATTATCTCCCTTACTCCCCATGATAGCTGTGTGAGGTCCCAGGGCAGGAGGAAGAGGAAACTGTGGTCCAGAAAGGTGAGAGAGGTGCTCTCACAGGCTGCCTCCCCTCCCTGTGCACTTTTGTAGCTGCCCTTGCCTCTGGGCAGCCCACTGAGTTGCCTGGCACTTGCTCCGTGAGGCAGACAAATATCACAGGCACACCCTAAAAGCAAGGCAAGCAGGAGACCCCTGTTCAAGTCATGTGACTCGATTGTTCACCTTGAATTTGTCTCAGACATGACACAGATCCTTTTTTTTTTTTAAGATTTTTTTGATGTGGACCATTTTTAAAGTCTAATGAATTTGTTACAGTATTACTTCTGTTTTATGTTTTGGTTTTTTGGCCACGAGGCACATGGGATCTTAGCTCCCCGACCAGGGATTGAACCCACTGCGTTGGACGGCAAAGTCTTAACCACTGGACCACCAGGGAAGTCCCCACACACAGATCCCTTGATGGGCCCTTTTTACCCTCAGAGGCTCCAGACATGGGTGCCACGGTTTTCTCCCCTGGGTCCTTGGTTGTGGGCATGGTGGCCTGGAGGGCAGGCAGTGAAGGAGGGAGAAGAGAAGGGTGCTTGGTGACTAACTTCAAAACACAGCAGAATGTTCCTTTGGCCCAAACCGCAGAGGAAACAGTGGGACACACAGAGTAAAGGGCCTCTCCGTTCCTATACCCACTGTGAAGTGGGGTGAAGTGTGAGGGCAAGCAAGGCTTAGCTCAGCCTTCAACCAGCACGCCCAATCCACGCTGACCCAAACTCTCTGTTACTCCCTCCATTGCTGAGGGTGTATTTCCAGGTTAAATCAAACTTCTTCCCCCCAACCCTGGCCCCAACATTAATTTATTTCTAATGCAGCCTAATTTCCTTCTGGACATGAATCCTTCCCAGGATTATCATGAGGATAAATGCTTCCATCGCCTCTCATAAGTGAGGCGCATACCTGTCCAGGAGGCCCCCATGACCAGCACGGGCCCCTGATTGCAGGCCTCTCCTTCTAAGAATCAGAACCTTCACATGTCCAAGGTGGACCTCAGAGGCCTCGCATTTCACAGATGTGGAGACGGGGGCCATGGAGGGGAAGAACGTGAGGCCCCCTTCACAGTCATTGGGTGTGGGAGACCCCCCACCGTGGGACCTCCTTGAGAACAAGCCTGGGCCTTCCCAGTATGTGAACCCAGCCCTGAGCCCAGGCTGGGCACATAGCAGGTGCTCAGTGAAGGCTTGTTTCAGCTGCTTTGCCAGGCCTCCTGGTGCAACAGTGGGAGCCTCATCTTCGTGGAAGGAAGGTTAGAACTGGAAAGGCGCTTAGACATCACTGAGCCCAACCCTCATTAACAGAAAGAGACCCCATGGATTAATAACGCTAAAAATAACAATAGCTAATACTTACAGAGCTGGGTGCTAGACAGGATTCTCTGCACTTCGTACGTACGAATCCATTGCAGCCACATAGCGACCACTATGCAGCAGGTATTATTATCATTGTCCCAAGATGAGGAAACTGAGGCACAGAGAGGCTCCATAACTTGCTGAAGGTCACAGAGCTAGTTAGTGTTGGGATCAGGATCCAGACCCAGGCAGTCTGGCTCCGGGGCCCACACCACTAACACCCCACCACCGACAGAGAGCAAAGTGCTGCGAGCAGGCACTTTTCTCCCAGTGGCAGGAGGAGTCTGTGCCAGCCCTATGAGTTCACTCAGGAAACCTAGCTTTTTCATCTCCGCATCCCCCTCAGGGCTCAGCTCAGGGCCTGGCAGGGGCCCAGGGACCTGTGTTCAATACAAGTGAGCTGTTCATCTTCCTAGTATTGAAACAACCAGTTTAGGGGCTCCTTGGAGCTGGAAGGAATCTCGGGAAGCAATTTACAGAAATGGAGGCCCAGAGATTGACGTGTCTTAGCCAGGTCTCCTGACTGCCTGTCCAGGGCTCTCTTCACCCAGGCGAGGCCTCCCAAGAGGGCCCTGAGGCGGATGAGCCGCCGGATCCTCCCTCGCCCCCGCTGTGCGGTTCCATCCTGGCTGTGCTAACAGGCTCTCTGCTCCCACAGCTCTTCGTGATCGACAATGGTGCGGACGACTGGCGGATAGCCATGACCTACGAGCGCATCCTCTACATCAGCTTGGAGATGCTGGTGTGCGCCATCCACCCCATTCCTGGCGAGTACAAGTTCTTCTGGACGGCGCGCCTGGCCTTCTCCTACACACCCTCGCGGGCGGAGGCCGACGTGGACATCATCCTGTCCATCCCGATGTTCCTGCGCCTGTACCTGATCGCCCGCGTCATGCTACTGCACAGCAAGCTCTTCACGGACGCCTCGTCCCGCAGCATCGGGGCCCTCAACAAGATCAACTTCAACACGCGCTTCGTCATGAAGACCCTCATGACCATCTGCCCCGGCACCGTGCTCCTCGTGTTCAGCATCTCACTGTGGATCATCGCCGCCTGGACCGTCCGCGTCTGCGAAAGGTATTCCAGCGGGTCGGGTTCTCGGCCCACTCGACCGGGGCCTCTGAGCGCACAGCCCATGTTGGGATGGGGGAAGGGAGGAGGAGTTGGGGGGCCCGGATGTATGTGGTCTGATGGAAGAAACAGGCATGTACCCAGACACCTCAGGAGAAAATGGGAGAGGAGAAGACCGGGTTGGGGCTGAATATGAGCTGCAACATTGAAACATTGGAACCAAGGTAAGCTGGGAAAAATGCATATATAATCCTCATCTCCTGTTCTTTGTAAACCAGTATATCTCAAAGTGTTCTGGTTATATCATTACCCCTTTCTTACATATAACACTTTGCAATTTCTGCATTATCTCTCCCTCTTGGAGATTAAGGATGTTCGCTAGCATTTTAAAGGCTCTGAGAAGTCCTGCAGTAATGAAACTGGTTTAATTTTGTTTAGTCCAGATTTTCTCAAGAGTATTCACCCACCAACGCTTTTCATTGTACATCACTATGGATGCCTCACTACTCAAAAATTTGGTCCACAGACCAGCAGTATCAGCATCACTGGTAACTTGTTAGATTGCAGAATCTCAGGCCTCACCCTGGAACTACTGAATAGAATTTGCATTTTAACAAGTTCACTGGTGACTTGTATGCACCTTAAAGTTTGAGAAGCACCTCACTGATGGAACATACTTTGGGAAACATTGTTTTGGGAGGCTGGTGGCTAGTAGGAGAGAAGGGGGATATGGCCTAATATAGATCTGGGGCTCTAGGGCATCATGCCAGCCCCTCAGAACTGCCATCATCAAGGCTCAAGGGTAGGTCTGTGGCTACCCGCTTCCACCGCCATCCGCAAGCTGCCCTTACTGACTCCTCTCCCTTTCAAGCTTGTCCTGGATATTCATTTTCTCTGATTTCATATGTGGAGTCTGAACACTGAGGTTAAAAACCTGGATTCTGCCCCTAAGTAGCCGTGAGACCTTGAGCAAGTCACTTCACCTCTCTGGGCCTCCGTGTCTTCATTTTAAAGTGAGGATCACTTGAGATAGAAGGTAGATATACATTTACTTGAGAGAGGTTATTTTTAGTATGCTGAGAGGCCTGGTCAAGCGTCCTGTGTAATTTAATCAGATCACCCTTCATTCATTATCACATAAAATTGTATTGTCAGGGCTTCCCTGCTGGCGCAGTGGTTGGGAGTCCGCCTGCCGATGCAGGGGACACGGGTTCGTGCTCCCGGTTCGGGAAGATCCCACATGCCGCGGAGGGGCTGGGCCTGTGAGTCATGGCCGCTGAGCCTGCGCGTCTGGAGCCTGTGCTCCGCAACGGGAGAGGCCACAACAGTGAGACGTCCGCGTACCGCCAAAAAAAAAAAAAAATTGTATTGTCAAATCTTCCATGTACCAGTGTCCCAGGAGAGATAAAACAAGCAAAAGGAGTCTGGAGGAGAGTTAGTCTAACAACATCTCAGGGGTTCACTGAACCTGATTTCCCACCTGTTTTGAAATGTTCTGTGTGCAGACAGTTCTTTCAGATGTTTGGCCCGCAGACGCACAGTCAGATGAAGAGGCCATTCTGCTGCAGCCAGGCAGGGACCCCTGCGCATGGCAGGGTCAGTCTCTGAGAGCCAGTGCCATGCTGGGAGACATTTCTCACATACAAAGCCTGAAGGACCCACGATACCCATGTATTCAGAACCCCATCATTACTCAGCAGCTGACATTATAACACCTGCTCTAAGTAGGACCATACCTCACCAGGCTTCATGAATCTTCTCTGGTAAGCAGACACTCTTTCTGCAATGGAGGAAGCATATGTTTGGTTTCCAGCCCCAGACTCCTCATAGTTCCCTTAGCTGAGCAATACGGTGCCAGTCTGGGCCTCAGTTTTCTCATCTGCAAGCTGGGGATAATAATACCAACTTTATAGGATTTGTTTTTGGAGTCAAATAGATAACGTACATGAAGTGTACACTGTGATAATGATAGTGACCATTCCTGCTAATAACGGAGATCTCTTGATAGCTCTTGGGAATCTTGTGACTTGCCTTTTTATAATTAGAACAAACCAGTTCCTACTATATGTAGACCTATGCTCTTTCTGTTTTCCTTTTTAATTGATCAAAGCTGAGTCTTCTAACAGCAATAATGATTGAATTTGCATAGCCCCTTAAGATGTTGGAAATCTTCCATGTCTTCAGATCGACCCTGTTTGGTGTGTATCATTACCCCATTTTTCAGATGCGCAAACATGGAACAAAGTACCAGCATGTGAGTTTCATTGTTTATTGAACCTGTCAGAAGTCTGGGTGATGATTTTTTATCGGATTATGAGCGTGCTTCAAAGTGTGTAGTTTGCAAAGTACTCTGTTGCACGCTATTTGGCACTGAATGACACTCCATGGCCTCCACACTGGGGCTGGGTTGACCTGGCCTCCGTCAGACCATGGGCCTCTGTCTGCGGAGATGACTGACATGCCCAGCTGAAGTCCAAGGCAAAGGCACAGAGAAGCAACGAGCAAATCAAAGGTTCTCCTAAAGCTTCCCCTTCTCTTGTGAAAAGGCCCTTTGACCAAAAGGCTTCTGCTTAGATCTCACATGAGATATATTAAAACACGTGGGGCGTTATTGCCCCTGTTTTTTGGGAGCTTACCCAGTGCCAGTTCTGTGTGAAATACTTCACTGTTATCTCCATTTGCCCTCCCAGTAGCCCTGTGGTAGAGGCACTGTGATTGTCCTCATTTTAGAGCAGAGGAAACTGATGTAAAGGAACTAGCCCGAGGTCACAGAGCCAGTAAATATGGAGCCAGAATTTGAACTTGCTTCTGACTCTGAACCTCGTGTTTGTCTCACCAGCCCAGGCTGAATCCTGCACTTACAAGGAAACTGTGGCCCAGACTCTCCTGGCGACTTTCCCGATCTGAGCGTCTCAAAGCCACTGAGACTGACACTTAAATCCCAGTCTTGCTGTTTTGCCTGCCTCTGATGTCTGTGCTTTTAACCATTTTATCACCCTGTCTTCAGGGCTGCCTTCATGTTAAATTCAAACATACCCGAGCGTAGTGGACGCTGAGGTATGCCACCCCGGGGCCCCCTCTCGGCCCAGGCTCTCACTCCCTCAGCTGGGGTCGTGGGCTGTGGCAGAATTGCCCTGGATGAAGGGAGCTGCCTCAGCTAAGATCAAGCCTCCTGCCCAGGGCAGCAAGCATCCAGTGACTTGTCAGTGTAGGAGTTGAAAGGCCCAGCCCCTTTACCTCACAGCTCTGCAGGGCCTTCCTGGCTCCAGGGCTCCTGAGGGATCACGTGGCACTTCAACCCCTCCCTCTCCCCAGTCCTATGTCCCTCAGGCCCCATGGGTGTTGATCCTGAGAGCAGCCCCAACAAGCCTCCCGCACTCAAATCGCAGCGTCCCAGTGACTCTTTCCCAGGAATCTGACCTATGGAACTGTGGAAGCGTTTATGAGTAAGTATATTCTTTCCTAATCAGGCAAAGTGCTTCTTTTAAAAAGACCAAGCAATTTCTTTTAGAATCAAGCTTACATGAGCATTGTCCTTCCCCAATGTCAAATAATCAGCAAGATTGGCAGAGACTGAGATAGGAATTATTCAACCAGAGACGGGACAGAAACTGGAGGCAGGCAGTGCTTTGGAGGACTGAAGCCTCGGACCAGGGTGGAAGGACCTGCCCTGTCCAATGTGGGCAAGATGCCATTTTTCTCTCTCAGCCTGATCAATGACAATTCTGTCACCTGAGACAGCAGAGAGAGTCAAGGACTCACCCAAGGTCACATAGCAGCATGACAGGCTCTAGAAAAACTCCACTCTGCTGATGCCCAGAGCAGGGCTTGTTCACATTCCAGGTGGGTTTCATCAGCCCGGATGCATCTCTAGCTGTGAACACACACTTCTGAAGTTGCTATGGAAATCCCTCTTCAGCAAGACTCATTTTGAAAGACATTTCTCATATCTGGGGTTGGCTTTTATGTGACAGTAAAGGTTTTTCACATTTCCTCCTTCCAAGGAGGGAGAGGGAATCAGTAATTACCCAGAACAGCCTGCTATGGGGAGGGCAGCGCCTGGTTGCCGGGAGGGCAGCGTCAACAGGAGGCTTGTTTTCCTTGGACCCCAGTGAAACATTACATCATGGGTTCCGAGGCCTGACAGTGTGGCACTCATCATTCTCTGGGATTCTCCTGGCCACGTGCCCGCCTCCCACAGGCCTCCCAGAGCCCATCCGAGGAACCTCCTCATTAAACGCTGTCACACACCAAGCAGCTGAGCTGGTGGAGAGACCACTGGGGGCCCCAGGCCTAAAGGCAGCGAGGCAGGAAGGGGGCCTTCCTGGCACGCCCTGAACGAAGTCTGCCAGCTCACATGTGGCTGTTTATCTCCCTGGGAGGAGCGACAGGGCCTCCCGTGACACTGACAGAGTGGGCCGAGTCTTGTGATCCAGAGCCAGGTTTTGTAAATGACCTCCTACCCTCGTGACTGGAATCCCTTTGGCCTCTTCTCTCCCGAGGCTCCAAGTTCTGCTCACAGGCTGTGTCAGCATCTCAGGCCTTCCGGCCTATCAACAGGTCTTTGGTGATGGTGTGAACTTTCATCTAAGTCTGTATATTGGCATTTTCATGAGAAAATGGATTCTGGAGACCTGGCTGCCGGAACTGGAGAAAAACAATGAGTGGCCATTCTTTCTCTCATTAAAACAGAGCCACTCCTCCCATCATAAGGAAGATAAAAAGAGGCTTCCTTCCTCCAGTCTCTTCTGCTTCCGTTCCAGACACCCAGGTCTGCACCGGCCGGAAGCTGGAAGCAAGAACAGTTCCCTCCTCCTCCCCGTCTCCTTCCCACAGTCTCCTACCACCTCCGACAGGGGCTTCAGCTCCAAGAAAGGAGCAGAGACAAGGTCTACAGAAGGAAGCACATAGCACGGGGTTGACACAGGTGCCCGAGTAGAGCCTTTGTGTGCTGGGCGGAGCCGGGAAGAACTCTGAGAGCAATGGGTTCTCACGGGCCCTCTGAT